TTGCAATTTGTATAATCTATTTCAGGTATGTATATGTGAATAGACTTTTTTGCGTTGAAAGAGTCAAAGTGCAAGAGTACAGTAGTACATTGCTTGCCATAAAAGATGGGTGGAGAGAATTTTCTCATTCAATTACCTAAATATTTTATGTCGATTTTTATTGATATTTTAGGTTCTCTTTGGGAGTTTTATAATGAGAGTGTTAAGTGGGTTTTATTTCCACTTATTTGCCTTGCCACTGCTTCCAACCTTGGCATTGTTTCCTTCTAGATGGTTCTGCCATCCGTTAATTCTTTCCATTTCTTCGAACAATTTGATAAATTAATCCAATTCTTAGTCGCAGACAAATTATGAAGAGAATGAAATGGAATGCGTTTTGGTTTTCATGTTCGATGAATTACTCTTAGTTCTTGCAGCGGCCCCGATTTCATGTTGCGAGGTGTGAATGCTCTTCGAGAGAGACTCTGCAGCTCATGGATCCCACATTTCATTTCGGTGCTCGTTCCATCGACATTCATATTTTCTTTCAGATTTGAGGAGATTTGATCGAGGATTTCTCGATAGAAGAGTTTTATGAATTGAGGCCTCGAGAAAGGCTTGAATTCGAGTAATTCCTCTCACACATAGGCTCGGGATTCTGGAAGATTTCTCGAGCCAGTGTATCAGTGAAGGACCTGAAATATGGACTCATTGGAGTTGAGGATGCTTCCTTTTTCTTGCGAAAAGTCTGCCTTGGGTTTTTATGCCTCTGCCATTGTCGTGCCACGAGGATTGGACATCGTGTTTCACACAAAATTGGAAGGAGGAAGTAAGATTGAGAATGGTTGTAGCTTTGTGGGTTGAATGAATGCACCACTCGTGTTCGAGCCACAACCAGACACGCCCTGACAATGAAGCACCGCGTTGTTCGTCGAAGGTAAATGTTCTGAGAGGGTCCTCCACTCCAACTCAGACGAGCCATCTCTCCGCGTTAGCGAGTTCAGATAAACTGACAGTGCCACTGACGGTCAAGGTGCGAAGGGAGGAGAATCCACCTGCTGGTCGAAAATGTATGCTCGAGTCCTGACGGAGGCCCACCCTCGACATGGCTTTCATGGCTGATGCTTTCGATGCCGCCCTTTTTCAACCCTAGCCTAGTCCAAGATTTGGGTTTCGATTGACCTAGCCTGCACTTTAATGTACAGTCGGACACGAGTCATTACGGGAGATTCTGGTCGGTCTTCGTGTGGGACCCTGTTCGCTGTGCGAGTAGATGAGATTGCGCTCGCTTGTGCAGAGATCATCCCAACCCCGGCACACTTTGTCAGTCGGCGATGATAGCAGCTCGGAACAAGAGCGCAGGAGAAAGAGCGAGATGAGCCAAGCTGGATTGAAAATGTGCACCTCTGGAGTATAAAGAAATTGGAGGAGGAGGTGAGCATCATTGACATGCCTGACATTGAATTAGGGTAAAGTGTCTGTTGAGTGTTCATTGCCGAGAGTTCATTACGAGAGGAACGCACATATGGATGCACTTTTCACGTAACTGAATTCATAAATCAATAAAGTCAAATGCTTGCCATCCCTTTCCATGGCGAAAAGACGCTCAGACTCGCGTGCTGTATTATTTTCGTTTCCATAATAAGGTCAAAGCTTGTTCATCCACAGGATTTGTTTCCCTCTTCTGTCCCTCCCTCCTCTGAGGTCCATGAACCTTTGTTCGAAGCTGGGAGATACTCTTTTGTCCACGTTGTCTTTCCACCATCATTCCCCTGCTCTGCTCTGAGCTCTGAGCTCTCAACTTCCTAGCTGGAGCTCGTAGGTCGTCTTTTGGAGGGATGATTTAAATCCTCCTCCTGCAGAATGTTGACCCCATCGTTGACACTTGTCTCTCATTCCCTTTCGAGTCCTCCTCCTCCTCCTCATGTTAGAAGCTCTACACGAGGCGTAAGTATTTGACAAACCGCTGGAAGCTCTGGGTAACTTGGAGTGAGGAATTTGCATAAAAAGCTGACTCACCATGATAGCCATAGGTGTACGAGAACATTTACTTCCGTCTTCAATCGATACACTCATTGCCCATCGTTGCCCTTCAGTCTTTTCTTTTCAACCAGAACTGTTGTTCAATCCTATGACTTCTCATTAACTGCAGTCTTTGTAATCTCCGAGTTCACTTTTTGGGTCGTTTCCTACGGTGCGATTGGAACTATATCCTTTGTCAGACTTAGTCATCTGCATGCCGTACGATGAGACATAATCTATGCTCTTTTCACAGCTCATCCTCGTTGAATCTGTTCCGGCCTCCTATAAATTTATACACTGTGGGTTCCAAAGAGCACATTCCATCACAAAGTTTGGTATTGGTTTCATCGAGACTGTCGACACTCAGCAGCGATGTTGGCACTGTGGTTAACATTTACTATAGGACAATAGTAGCGATCAGAGCAAAGTCAAGTCTTGTGGAGAAAGTTACTTTAGACAGGGTACAGTAAGAGCAACAGGGGAACAGAGGAGCAGAGGCGATGGGGCTGGTTGTGCTCGCCAGAGGGAGAAACGTGCTGGTTTTGAGCTGTCGGTGATCGGCTTCAGCATGCTCATTAATGCCACATTCAGCAACTTCAGCTGCATGGTGGCGTTGCGCTCGACGACAAACGCAGTCATTCATGCAGCATTACTCTTTGTGTATGGGAAGTTAAATACCACACAGTGCACTCCCTCCCTCAGAATCCCTTTATCATTACTGTACTCGTGATTTCAACAAGCTCTTCAGACTTGCCATTAGGGGCAAACAGAACTGCCTCTAGATCCTCCATTTTCAGATTCAATGTGAAGTCTCGTCCGACAAGTCGCAAATGTCTTCGTGCCACGGTGAATATGGAGGTTTCCTTGTCTTCACAGTTCAACTGAATATCAACCAACAACGGAGATACTTGTTCATGAGAACGGACCTTTAGGGCAAACCATGACCCTTCGAGGCCGGCTCAGTTGCAATTCGCCGGTCTCTGAGTGAACAGCAACTTGGCAGGATTGGCAGGGTTTGGATGTTCGATCTGAGGAGAGCAGGAGGCGGTGCTTGGCAGTCCTGAGAGAATGACCAACCAAGCCGCTCATTTTGAAGTGGGTGGCACTGGAATCCAGGCAAGGACAAGGGAGCTACAGCAATCAATGTCCGCAGCATGTGTTCGTCATCATTCCTTGACAGAGGATTGTCCTAAAATTGTACAGTCCTGTCCTTCTGTGTAAGACACGCTAATCATCTCACTGTTCGGGAAGGAGGGCGAGTGAGGCGAGTTCCGTATATGCGTCAAGAGAGAATCTGCCTTTGGCAATTGCTCGGCAACGAAGTGCAGTGTGCACCATTACACTCGCGATCCCTTGCTACGATCTCCATGAGCGAAGTCACAGGACGGGCATAAGTCCATAACTGCCATGAGTCTCGACTTTGATCAAGAGAAAGTGGAGGGAACAGTCCGAGGTTCGTGTCCATGTCCACTCAAACCTGTTAATGGAACCGCCATCGGGCGAGCCTGACAGGTATGAGCCGAGGCAAGCTCATAGCTAGTGATCCAGCATCACATTGCACCTCGACAGCCATCATGCGTCATACTGCGATGTTGTTGTCATTCAAAAAAGTCCACCGACAATTCGACCTTCCAGCGATTCAATTCAAACAGAACGCTGAACAATCCATCATCAGTCCACATCAATGAGTGTACGAGTACGAGGTCATAATCATCCCTTCGATGAATCATACGCTTTCTCTCACGAGAATGGAAAGCTCGAAACCATCAAACCAACTGCGAATTATGCCTCGTAGCTCATCACGTTACAGCAACGACGGGACGACGAAATAGAAGCAGCTCGAGGAATAATGGAAGCACACCGAGAAAATACAGCAAAAAGCATAGGAAGACCTCTTCCTTGCTTCATTCATTCATTCGTTCATTCATTCATTCATTCAATCCATACATCAATCATTCCAACGATTCATCTATCTCTGAATCTAGATCCATCTCTCCATGCCATCAGTGGCAGAAAAGTCCACGTGATGGATAATCCTGTTAGCGTTACGAGTCCCAACCCTGACACTGTCCCTTGCACCGCTGCATGCAAGAGCATACGGTCGATACCGACCACATCAGGAGGAGGAAGAGGACGAGGACGAGGAGCCGCCAGCTAAATGGCGATGGCTGTGAGGACTGGGTACCGGCATTCTTCGACTCGAGCAACGAGCTGCAAGCAGCTGCAGCAGGAGCAGGAGCAGGATCAGCATCATAGTACGTCGACATGGAGAGGGAGGAGGAGTTAATGGAGAAAGTACAGGGGCCAGGATGAGTCCTGTATCGCACCGAGTGAGCAGCAATGGAACGGTAAATGGTAAGTTGGTGCAATCGTACACGCCCGGGACATCTGAACAACATCTGATGTCGCATTACTGCAGGAGTTACGAGAGAGTGAAGGGAATTGATTGAGCGGAATGAATGAGCGAATGGGCTGTCGTCCCGTCGTGTCGTGTTGTGTTCCATGGACGGGTCCAGTCCAGTCCAGCATTCTTCTCCTGCTGCTCCCTCCCCCCGACCCTCGATGCTCCCAGGTGGTGGTGGTGGTGGTGCAGCAGCAGATGTTCCCCTCAAGAGCCAGAGGCATCATTCTCCTACGGCCCTCCCTGTCTGTACCCGAGCTGCCCTGCCCTTCTTCTTAGCCACACCACTTACTGCCGGTGCTCAATTTAGAGGCGATTCGTCCGATGATCATTCCATAGCCCGTCTAGTCCTGATTACTATGACTGCACCTCGTCGTGAGCTCCTCCTGCCTGCAGGGCGGGGCAGGCTGCAGCTGACTGGCTGGTTGCTGTGTCAGAACCCACTTTGAGGCACCACATTTCATTGCTGCTGCTGCTGGTTGCTCGCTAGCTAGCTAGCTAGGGCCAGACAGAGCTCACTGTCTTGGCTTTGGCTGCCTCAGGCGGTCGACATTAAAATAACAAAGGGCCTCCCGCTAGTTCATGTCTCCCCTTCCTCTTCGAGCTGGGGCTTTCTTCACTGCTGCCCGACGTCCCTCGGACTCACTCCCTCCCTTCCTTTCATGGCGTGGATCAGAGTCCTCGGACCCCGACCCTCGCTATAACACCCCACACCCCCTCGCCCAAACCTTCCCCTCGTCTGAGGACTAATCCTCAGGCTCAGAGAGAGAGAGAGAGAGAGAGAGATCCATGCGCTTCGCTAGCAAACCAGCCATCGCCGACGATTAGTCTCGTTGCTCGTCTCAGACTCCAGCTGCTGCAGCTCAAGATCCAGCTCTTGGTCCTTTTGCTTTCCTTTCGTCTCCTGCCTGTCCTCCGGCTGGCACACTTGCAATGATATATGCCGAGGGCTGAGGCAGCAGAGAGCTGAGAGACGTCTGAGGTGCCAGCTACTTAAAGAGCATGCTGTAGCCCGGGGAGCAGCAGCAGCAGCAGCAGTGGTAGTAGCAGGTCCAGGTCCAGATCCAGAGGCAGCTTCGACTCGATCGTGTCGCTGGACTTGTGCGTCTGTCTGAACTATTGCCCTGAACTTCGTGATTTTCAAATGATCATCGTACTTTTGGTTGAGGTCGTAATTCATGGAGAGAGAGAGAGAGAGTCAGTGGGCAGGCACATAGAAATTCGTCACGGGGGCAACGCAATGCTGACTCAAAATGTTCGTAGAGCGCCGATGAGCTCGGCACGAGCTGCGGCCATAGCACCTCGCCTGCTGCTGGCTGCTGCATTGACCTCGAAAAGAGCCTGGAGCTCAGATTGCGCTTGCTTCACTAGTATGAAACCGATTTGATAACTGTTATGGGCCGCACGGCAAGAAACCATGCTGCTGCTGCAGCCGATGACGATGCTGATTGCGCTCGTTCGTTTGTTACGTTCTGTTGGAATGCAATGCGCAGGTGCAGCAAATCTGTGGCCGCCGCCAGCAGCAGCAGCATCGTCATGGACTCGTGCTGCAGCAGCAGGAGGAGGAGGAGTGTGCTGTGTGTGCTGCTCGTCCTCTGCTGCTCCGGCTCGAGCGGGACCCTGCGGGTGACGGCGCAGAATCCCGAGGCAGCTCCGCCCGCTTCGTTCGTCTTCGGCGACTCGCTCGTCGACTCCGGCAACAACAACTACATCGCGTCTCTGGCCCGAGCCAACTACGCCTCCAATGGCATCGACTTCGAGGGCGGCCAGGCCACCGGCCGCTTCTGCAATGGCCGCCACGTTCCAGACATCATCGGTAATCCCGATTCCTCTCGTGATCCGACTCCATCGTCCATCACTCTTGCAGCATTCATCATTCCAGCATCCAAGGCATTGCCCATCGCAGAGCTCGAGACACGAGCATCGGTGTGACAATGCTGCAATTTGTGTCTCTCTCCTGTGAACTGTCGTAGCATTGTGAGAGGTCTAAGCCTGATGTCACTGCACAGGTCAATCGCTGGGATTGCCATTCGCGCCTGCGTATCTGAACCCGGCCACGAAGGGGACTGCGATTTTGAAGGGAGTCAATTACGCCTCGGGAGGAGCTGGAATTCTCGACGACACCGGTTTCACATTCGTAAGTGCACTACCAGAAGCTGGAAACCCATTCCACAGAGAGGAAGTCGGTTGGGATCAAACTATGGCTGCCAGTGAAACAATGGGTTCAAAATGAACGAAGTGATTGGAATTCGAATGGAGATATGCAATGTGCCTCAGCAAGGATGGATGGACTCCGATGCAGAAAAGAGATTGTCACTGACGGTGCGGTGGTTGTTTGCTTTGCATTGCAGATCGAGGTGATCACCATGGACAAGCAACTCACGTACTTCGAGAACACCAAGAGTCAGATCGTCAACCTCATCGGCCCGGCCGCCACCGACGAGCTGATCACCAATGCGCTCTTCTCTGTCACCATGGGATCCAATGACTACCTCAACAACTACTTCCTGCCCGCCTCTCAGCGCGCGAAGAACTTCACTCCCAAGCAGTACCAAGACATTGTCATCAACAAGTACCGAGGCCAATTGCAGGTATCAGCTCATTTCACCCTCTGGACCTCTCACTGTCTCTCCATCCACGTGCTAATCAGAACCTCGATAGCCTCTGGATCTGATTTCCTTTCACCGCTGAATGAGTGCAGAAATTATACGACCTCGGAGCGAGGAGAATCGTCGTCGCCTCCGTGGGGCCTCTGGGGTGCATCCCGTACCAGCTGACGGTGAGGTTGAGGCAGAACGGACAGTGCGATCCCGAGAACAGTCTCATCATCAACTTCAACACCGCTCTCAAGGGCCTGGTGCAGGAGCTCAACTCCAAGATCGGCAAACCCCATTTCATTCTCGTCAATGCTTACGACAAAGTCATCGACCTCGTCACCAACCCTGGCTCTTACGGTAAGACCCAACCACTGCAGCTGCCTTCCCATGTCCTCCATGGCAGCAGCTGCGCCAGTCCATTGCTGCAGTAATTTGAAGAGCAATCTGATTCATCTATATGCATGCATTGAAAGCTGTGAGATATATACATAGCTCATGGTAGTAGTAGAGCAGTGGATGGTGGTGGTCCCATGCAAGAAGCTCATGCAAGAATTTGGTTGTGGCTCCAGGGTTCGAGACAGGCAGCAAGGCGTGCTGTGGGATCGGAGGCCAGTACAATGGTTTGCTACCTTGCGTGCCGACAGTTCCCATTTGCCAGGACAGGACGAAGAATGTGTTCTGGGATCCCTACCACCCGACTGACGCTGCGAATCAGGTTCTGGCCAAGCAGTTCCTCGATGGCAACGACGCGTACCCCTTCAACATCAGGCAGCTGCTGAGCTACCAATTCTAGAATTTGTGATCTGTCTTGGAATTGTACACACACGAAATTTTCTGATGGGCGTAGTCTACAATAAGATTGGCTATCATATTGAAAACAAAGAGGGTCAGCCACACCCTCCCTCGTCACTGATTCGTATTTCGAAGCGTAACTCGATGAAGAGAGAGAAAGCGTTGCTGCTTATCTTCCGACAGTTCACTCGAGAGTTGAGTCCTGTTCTGTTCGGGTCGTCGATGAGATGATGATCATCGAGCAGTGAGTGAATCAGTGAGGAGCAGCAGGGTCAATGGAGTTGACTCTGAAATCAGTTAGATTCTCAGCTCGTCAATTTATTTGTATGAGCCAATTAGCTCAAATCATTAAATGCAATTTTTTATACCTTCAAATCGGCCTGCTTGCTCATCGTGTCGAAGTCCTCTAAGATGGGTGGTGCTACCACAATTGAAGGAATCGAGATGCGTGCAGCCTCTGGCTGCTCTACCAATCGAGTCCACACCGTAAAAACTTTCGTCTGACGCCTGTCCAGACACGGAAACGAAACCTTCTCATCTACCGATAGGATGCGCATAATGGCCCGTGAGTCCGCCAGTTCAGCTGCCACGTTTGGTTGGTAGAGGAGATAAGAAGCAGCTCGAAGTCACACATCTTTTCGTTCGAATTATGCAACATACGGTTCATAGGACGAAATCCCATCCAGCCGTACATGGAAGCCAGTGAAAACGGTATTGCTCTTCAATGCTGACGAGGTTTTGACGTCCATGCTGTTGCAGCTGAGCAGAATGACGAAATGTGGAAGCCGCTGAATTCCAGGCCATATGTCGAATTAGATCGTGCATGATACGAGGTTACGTGAATTTCTCACCACTGTTGGTACTCAGATGTGGCATTGATGAGAAGGCGTTGAAACTCGGTTATGGGAAAGTGGTGATGGACCTTCCTTCACTGTCTGAGACGGCTTGGCCATGCAGGCACCTGCTGATCACGACTGCTGGCCAGGTCGGAGAGAGTAAAGTCGTCCACCGAGCAATAAATAAGTGGAGTGGACTCAGTGGAATTGATCATGTAATTAGTGTCGGTTAAGGTCTGCAATTAAGAGCCCCGTGGACTGTCCTCGTCCACTCGGATCAACGCAAATGTCAACTCGAGCTTCCGAGGTCCAGCTCCCAACTCGTCCATGTCATGTCCGTCCATGGCAGGGCATTCATGTCGATTCGCATGACCGCATTTCAAAACATCGCGTGGCCTCGATTCTCCAAACATTCCACAGAACTGCTGCATGAAATCACGCACTCTTCCCTATTGCCCCAGAATGACAGTCAAGTTCCAATGAGACCGAATGAAGTGATCATCTCATCTCATCTCATCCCCAACCTCGACCTCTGTTTGTATTTCATTGTATTTGGGTCTTGAACTTTTTCATCGATCCGTATACAGCCAAACAAATTTGCATACATGTGACGAGGATTGTCGAGTAAGTAGATAGCTGATTTTTGTTCTGAGGTTAGCTGAAATCTCATGTTACCTGTGAGGGTTGAGGGCTTGATGGGGTCTTCCCATTAAGCTTCTTTTTGCTGTATTACTTGTTCCATACTCTCATATAGAGTATATATATTGCTACTTCAGAGTTACAGTCCAAGGTATGGCGATTACGCAGCAGGTCTTCTTTCTTTCAATCTTTGTTAACTTCTGGCTTGTACTGTCGTCAATGATTTCCCTATGGGACTATTTTACTCCACGATTCCTTCCCACTTTCACCAGTATGTGGTAAGATATTTGCGTGTTGCTTTTAGCGCCTTCCTTTCCTGTTATGTACGACGGAAATGCGTATATACATACATATATGTATTACAAATAGAAAGTAGGTACATAAGTAAATAAATAAATAAATATGTATAACTTCTGATTGCCAGCTTTTATTGTCCTGCTGCAGGTATGAAAGTGTCGAAGGATAGTTCAATATTAATAATAAAGTCATTAAGAGAACTCAAAAAATTTACACGTAAACCAAACCTCTTCCCACTGCATGGGAGGGAGTAAGAATGTACTGGAACGTTAGCATTCATCGGATTAAGGCCAAGTTACGGATGTTTCGTGAGGAGCCCTTCTTTATGAGTTCATGTTGCAGTGGTTCAGACTTCTCTCGCACTTATGGAGATGACCAGAACCGTACCCCAGATTGTGAATTTCGAGCTGCCAGTCCTCTCCTTTCTCAAATGTCCTTCTCTGAACCCCTTGACTCCATACTCCAACTTGGGGATCTGGAAATCCCCTCCACAATCTCTTGGAGCAATCTCCTGAATGTATGTGACACCCAGACTCGAGGGATTCGAAATCTTTGCCCGATGCTCCTTGCAAGCTTGATCTGGGTTGTAATGGCTACTCACTCGCTTGGTCAAATCAAAGAAATGGTTTACCGATCCATGAAAGAAAAAAGAAAATAGTTCTTCAGAACTCATAATCGTTGAAAAATAGCATGGAAACTAACAAGATTTGAATCTAAGATATAATCTCTAGCTGCAAAATTACTTGCATTGTGGAATTATTCCTCAAATGTGTAATAGACATTCCGGTGAGCTTTGTACTCGATGGGTCAATTCATGCTCACCCTCACTTTCTTCTCGTGCTTTAAACGCATCATCATCCAACCACTTTTGCTCTGGTTGTCACATGTGCTGCTGACTGTCAGCACGTACGTAAGAGCCAGCAGAGTGGCTGCAGCAGAAGCAGCGAGGTTTCACTCGAGAGTTCAGGCCTCTGATCTTGCTTCCAGCTCCCCGAGTCGGACCTTTACTCGCTTATTTGTTCATAATCGGTGGATGTGCTTCGAGCCTTTTTGCTTTTTCTCCGAGTGGCAAGTGCGAGGGATTATGAATCGATAGTAGTTGTTGAAGCCTCAATGGCGGAGCAACGAATGATGCAGCCGAAAGGAAGCCGGCATGTAAGTGCACTGACATGACGCTGAGCTATGTTTGTGATCACGTCGTGGTCGTCGCCGATGGGAAGCTATGGCGGAATTGTGCACAATCTGAGCTCGACGAGCAGGATGCACCTCGACTCGTAAAGTACTCGCCACGTCACGCCACGTCACGTCACGGTCATCTTGTTTGCCAGGTAGTCGACCATCTTCCGGTTCCGGTCGTCCGGTAGTCATTCGACCGATTGGCTCCGGTCTGGGTTAGGCGCTGTAAGATAATCGGATGATCTTTGCCATATCTGTCGTTTCACATGTTTTCGGTTTTATTTGGAACCAACAAAAGGTACCACTTCGTTGACCGATGGAGGAGTGCGAGTAGATTAAGGGTACTAAGTTCTTCACCTATTGTGACAATATGACTCGGTAGATAATCCTCCTGAGTAAAAATGATGTGGGTTTCATTGGTAAGTAAAATGAACATATAAAAATTTGTGCGAGGAAATATTAGTGAATTTGTAATTGTAAGAAGAGTTCTTTGAGAGTTTTTGTAAATTTTCATCTACGGTTTATGTTTGGTTGCGCAAATCTCTTATTTATTTCGATTTGGTTTTATTGAGACCAGATTGGCTATATTCAGATCAAGATTTATGAGCCTTTTTTATTTTTTATTGTTTTGATGGTTAGCTTTTTGAATATGGATGGAGATGTTACTTGATGACAACTTTGCAAGCGTGATGTGTGTCTTTTATTTATTTATTTATGCTAAACATAGTTTCATCTTATGAGGCTACAATGAGCAATGCATGTAGCAACATGCTTTCTTTTCTTATTCTCTAATAAAAATAATTCACAAATATCATTATTGATTATTTGATACTAACAACAGAAGAAGCCATAGTTATATATATGTTGAAAAAAAAATTCGGATGTTTTATGGATAGTAGACATTTTTTTGAGCATATGGCTAAGTTTTTTAACTTGTTAAGAAGTTTTCTTAGATTTTTTAACTTTTTAATTTTGATAACATATCTTTAATATACATGTACATAAGGGTGAACACTAAAATTTTGAGCAAAAATTTGAAATACATTGAGCAAAGAGGATGTAAAAATCACAAGATATTAGCAACATGATAAGTATGATTTGCTTTGATTGCAATATTCAGTATCTTGAAATTAATCAATGTATAATAAAAGATGTTTTTAATTTTTACATGATATGTTAATTTGATAAGACAATTTGAAGTTTGATAAGTAATAGATTCATCCATCTAGATGGATGATATTTTTTTGGAAAATAAGCAAGTATAGCCAATTTTTTTTTGATAGAATATTTTTGTAACAACATTCATACAAGCCTCATGCAATAAAAACTTCACATAATCTATCCTTGAAAGTGAGAAGCATTTGAAAAGGAGTACTGTACATTAGATATATCAAATTGAATGTTCAAATTGGGTTCAAAGAAGAAGGTCATACTATTAATTTGAAAACGTACTTAAATTTTTTCTACAAGTTCGGTGCCTATTGCGGATTTTCAAATATGATGAAAAGTATATGTTCATACTGATGGCTCATCATCCATATCCATAACAAATTCTGTCATTCGTTTTAGGTGAACCAAATGCACGACACTCTTTCAAACGAACAATGACGATTGAAAGTGTATCCAGTTGGAGAGAAACAACAAGCAAGATCAAATAGGTATATAACGTTGAGTGTAATGAAGACAACAAATTCATAAAAGTGTATTCTGGACGTCTAAATGGAGACACACTAAGAAGATGAAGTGGACGCCAGAAGATAATGAGTCAGTATGTAGTTTAAAGACACGTGGAAACGAGCTGGAAAAACACATGATTTCTCGATTGTTAAATCATTAATAGTCACAGATTTGCATTTTCATAGTCTTTTATTTTGAGCCAAGTCCGAGCATCACCACATGATTTTGCGGGTAAGGTTCCAACGTTTGATGTATATTAGAGGTGATCACGTCACAACAAGTCCTCCATTTTTTAGTGGAGAGTAGTTTGAAGCCTTAGCAGTTGCAGTCAAATGATCTTAGAATTGATTTGCAGCTATTGTAAATATATATTGCGAATATATTAACGAGTTTATAACGAGTCCAGAGTCGACATAAGGTGAAAGGGAGGGAGTAGGAGAATCCTGATTCGTCACGAGTAAATCTATGACTCGCCAAAATATGGATCGGTATGAAGAACTTCACTTATTGTCATACGAGTGATAGAATTCTGACATTTCTAGGAATTGGATCTTCAAGAAATACTTTGGGCCAGATTTCACATTCAGACCTCGCCAGCAATAAAATTAAGTTTTGGTCCAAAAGTGGATTGTTTTATCATGAGCAACATAGATGAGGATGATATTGTGAGACATATTGAGAAATGAGTAAGTAATAAAATGTTGGACACAAGTTTCAGACTTTAACCACAATTTTGTAACAAGAGAT